GTGGTGCGTCAGAAATTCTACGCTTACTTTGGTCGCATGAATAATTAAATAAATTCTCCTTAACCCTTCCCCTAGTCAACGATACAAACGCAGATACAGCGCGAGCTCGCGATCAACCATGGAGTCTCTACCAACGATCGACGAGTAGCACTACAGGTGGCACGCAGTCTCCAGAACCAACTATTCTTCTACGAAGTCGAATGGGGCGGTCGCGCGTTGCAAGATGGGGTGGAGGATGTGTATATGTTCTTGGACGACCAGGAAAGCGGCTCCGATGCCATCCCTGAGCGCGAAGAACTGCCAACGGGTGTCATCACTATGCTGACACGGTGTTATTCACCGAGCTGCGGAGAGGGTGTGGTTTGTTATTCATATTCATGTCCTCGCAAGGTATCGTTTTTTCTCTTATACATATCCACAGCTGTAATCATCATTTGGTTTACTAGGGTGACCATGTCTTTGTCCCGCCTTCCGTGCCCGTTGAGGCTGTCGTAACGGAGAAGGATGAGGAATGGTCGGCGACAATCGATCGCTCCATTCTGAAGTCCTTGCCCGAGAGCGAAATCAAGAGACAAACGTGTGTAGCCTTTTATATATATGTTAAGTTTCCTGTTAAACCATGTCCCTGTGTTATAATTAGCATCATCCACCGACTCATCACGCGCGAGAAACAATACTTGCAAGACCTCGACCTTGTTGAATCGATCTTCATCAAGCCTCTCCGGGCTGCAAATCCTCCTGTGCTCCCTCCTGACCTTCTCGAAGATTTCATCGATGAAATATTCGGGAACATTCTGGACTTGCGCGAATGCAACCGTCGTCTGCTGGAGGTGATGTATGTTCGTCAGCGCGAGGAGGGCCCTATTATCTTGAGGATTGGAGATATATTCTTGCACGCTGCGGCTGAATTCCGGTTGGCGTACCCGACGTATATTGGGCATTATCCGATATCGGAGAAGAGACTCAAGGAAGAAGTTGATACGAATAATGCATTCAAGCTGTTCTTGGAGGTACGACCATTCATTCATTCCATGCCGTTCTTGTTATTTTTTAAACTATATCCCATTATATAGCAATGCTCCCGTCAGCAAACATCCCGCGCCGGAGATTCTCCCAAGCTCGACCTCAAGGCCTTCCTGAATCGCCCATCGGAGCATCTGCAGAAATATACCGTCCTCCTCGAGGCGGCGCTCAAAGAGACAGCGCCTGAGAATTCAGATGCTGAGTTCCTTGTTGAAGCAATCGACGCAATTAAGAACCTGCATGCGATTTCGCAGTTGTGGACATTCCAAGCCGCGATGGGCAAAGGCGCCCCTGGCAAGTGGGAATGGCATGACATTGTGTCACCGGAGGTCAGAGAGCATTTTACGAAGCAAGAATCTAAGAGGCAGGCGTGAGTAATTTCTTGTAATCTTTCATGAGTCTTGGCTGAGATTCTGGTGCAGAATTATCTTTGAGTTGATCAAGGGAGAGATGGCATATGTGAAGGATTTGGAAAATATCCAGAGCGTAAGTACTTTTCTATCTCTTTCCTATGTATGCGATACTTACGCATGATGTCGCAGATGTATATAATTCCCCTCCGCAAGGCCGAGCCGCCAATAATTGCACGCGAACGGCTTGATCAATTCATCGACGAAGTCTTCCACAACTATGCCGAATTATTCCAGCATCACAAAAAGCTCGTGGACGCCCTGCACGAAATCCAACGCGAACAGCATCCACGCATCGAGTCCATCACTGCTGTGCTGTTCGATGCTGCGCTCAACTTTAGAGATGCATACATGGAGTATATCCCGAATTATCCTATTGCCGCATATCGCATTGATGAGGAGATGGGGAATAATCTCCCGTTCAAGACCTTTGTCGATGTAAGTGATTGCTCCTTGGTCATGGAAAACCTCCATCTCACCCGACATGGGCTTTGTTAGCAATGTGTTCGTCACCCAGACGCGCATCGTCTCGACATGAAAAGTTTCATCAATCGACCTATTCCAAGGTTGTTACGTTACGAGCTGCTTTTGAAGGGCATCATGGACGAGACCCCCGCTGGACATGAAGATCTAGACTCGATACCCAACGTCATTGAAGTCATTAAAGCTCTAGGAAAGGAAACCGAACCTGGGGTTCAGGAGTCTAAGCAGAAAGTTGAGGTGTGGCGATACAATGCGAACATCCAGTTCAAGGCAGGAGAATCAATTGTGAGTTTCCTCCTGCTTGTCAAGGCTAGTTTGCCTGACTTGAGTGCTTTCAGGACATGGATCTCCTTGACCGTGGCCGCACGCTTATATATTCTGGTAAACTCCTTCGCCAACCCGAAAGCGGTTTGGAATGGAACGGATGGAGTGAACTTCATGTTCTTCTCTTTGATAACTATTGTAAGTCGACATTCACATCGTGAACAAATGTAACACTAAGAGTTCTTGACAGTGGTGATGACAAAGATGAAAGAAAGGGATGGTGTAACGAAATATCAAGTCAATCGTCGCGTAAGTTCCTGCACATTTCGGAAGACTTCCAGGACTGATCTCGTATTTAGCCAATTCCGCTGGACTTGTTGACTCTTGTCAACTTTACTGACCCTCCCACTCAACGAAGCACGGGTATCCTCCGCAATTTGCGCGGCGGCGAACGTCATGACACCGCCAACACAACTCCAGGCGCGACGCCGGATAGTGCAACGGATTCTCGATCAGTTTTCCCGCTCACTTTGCACCACAACGGACGCACGGGAGGGCCGTATATTCTCTATGCTGAGTCTGCGCAGTCGCGCACGGAGTGGAAGGATAAGCTGGAGCATGCTCTGATCCTGCGCAAGACGGTGCAGGAATCCAACAAAGTGTTCGAGATAGAGTATTTGAGCAGGGACACATTTGTCATGCCCGCGGTGTCGGTTGGCACTAACAACAGCCCAGCTTGGAACCAGGACAATCAGTTTACGGGCAAAGTCACCTGTTCTGTGCCTTTCAGTCAGTTATTCAGGCATAATTTTGTTGATGAGTCACTAACTGTGTTTTCAGATACTCCTGATGGACGAGCACTGGTTGCCATCGGGTGTACGGAAGGGGTGTGGATTGGATTCAGACATGATCCAAAATGTGCGTAATCTAAAGAGTATGTTGATGTTTCTCAGCTGACCATTCTCTATCCAGCAATCCGCCGCGTTCTTCATTTGAAAATGGTCACTCAGTGTGCTATGCTGGAAGACTTTGGAATTTTCCTGGTGCTAGCGGACAAGGTTGGTGCTATTTCGTCTTGAATCCATCACATGTTAACGATCTCTCAGGCTCTTTTCGCGTACCACATCGAAGCCCTGGTACCGTCCTCGGCTCATGGAGCTCATACCTCACAGGTTCCGCAGAAGTTGAGCGGAACCAAGGACGTTCATTTCTTCAGTGTTGGCACTCTGCAAGGTCGCACCCTTATCATCTATATGAAGAAGAAATCAGTACGTTCGTTGGTTACATTATCATGGCTTGCTCTGACATGCATATCTCTAGTTGAACAGCATCTTCCGTGTCCTTGAACCTGTGGGCGACAAGATCAACGAGGGCGTGAAAGCTCCTGCTGGCTTCGGATCTCGTCTAGGATTCCGATCGACTAAATCCGAGTGGTTCAGGATTTACAGAGACTTCTTCCTCCCATCTGATTCATTCGATGTCATCTTCCTGAAAGCGAGGATAGCCATTTTCTGCGCCAAAGGCTTCGAGATCATGAATCTTCATGAGTGGGTGGTTACTTTCTTCTATTACTCATTACATTATTGACACATTTTCTGCAGCTTTGATAGTATCACAATTCCTCAACGAGAAGACCCTCGCCATGCCCAATTGGCGAAACGTTGTGAAGCTTCTCGACCATTGGGTATGTTCCGGTCAACAGAAGAGGAATTCCTCCTTTGCTATGACGGTAGGCCTTTCCAACTACTTGAAATCTGATCAATATTCTAATGACTGTGATTGCTTCAGAATTCGGTCTGTACGTTGACAAGCATGGGGACCCATGTCGGACGTCAGGAACTATTGAATGGGAAGGCACAGCAGAACGTGTCGCCTTCCATGCACCTTATATCCTTCTCTTCGACTCTCGATTCATCGAAATCCGACACATTGCTACTGGACGCCTAGCACAGATTATTCCCGGCAACGAAATTCGGTGTACCTGGGATGGCCGTGGCGTTAGCGTGAATCCAAATACCCCGTCGAATGTTGACCCTGGAGACGATGGCGTTGTCCAAGAGGCACAAGTCCATTTCGTGATGAACAGCACAGATTCCGTCACCGGCCCTGGTGGCATGCGGTCAAGGAATATTGTGCAGCACGTCTGCGAACTCATACCCACTGTCGCCCTTTTCCCAACGTCAGCAACGACGCCAAATGCGCCGGCGCCTCTTCCCCTTGCCCAGTCCATGCAAGCGCCATACAACCCATACGCCCCTGGGACGGTGCCAACACACATGGCGAACTACTCGTACAGCTCTTCGTCGTCGACGTTTTCGCCAGTCACTCCCATGGGCCAAGCATACCCGCCCCCCATTGCGCCGCACAACGTCAACCCTATACCTGGCGGTGGGACGTATTACAATCGCGCAGGACAATCGACGATGTCGCCCCCGCGCTCGCCTGAACTGCGGCCTTCGCCAACATGGCGTTGAGTCACCAAAACCAGACGCTGATGATTTGATGCTCCGTTGCTTGGACTATTTCATGACCACGGGTACTAGCTATATGATATTTCAGTCGCTCTCATATTGTAATATTAGGTTCTGTATCGGAACGAGTAGATTAATGGCACTATGTTCATAGCTTTTGCCTGTTGGTGTGAGAAGAATACCCATACGTTTGTGAGGAACCAGACCCTACCGAGTCCTCGCCTCAAACCTCAAATTCAATGACCTTGTTTAAATGTCAAATATTAATGGCAAAAATGCACATCTTGATTGAGTCGATTCTCGAAGAAAGCCAAAAAAAGAAAAAATTATATGAGAACAGAAAAAGAAACTGCCCCAGAGAGGCTCGAACTCTCGACCTTCCGATGATTGACATTGCTAAATGTCATATGCAGTGTGAATATGACATCTACCAATATTAACAGTCGGACGCTGTAACCAACTCAGCCATGGGGCATGTATTGGGGGTGCCTATTACATTAATTTATATCCGAGTTTTGCCTCAGTAGGATTTGGCGCCCACGATTCGATCTGTCACAGCCATCATCCTGAGCTTACCACTTTCATTGTCTGATCTGACTGCAGGCACTGCTATACATCTAGCAGCCTTCCTTTCCTTCCTTTCTGTATCATAATCTCAACCATGGCGGCAACATCAGCCAAACGGCCCCGCGCCCCTTCCTCTCCTTCGTCCGCTCTCAGCGCCTCTGCAGGATCCGCGGATCCGCCACACAAAGCCTCCCGCATCGTCCACGCCTCGTCCGCTTTTTCTGACACCACGACTACGCTTGGATCGGGGGATACTGCTCCGGCTGCCCCAGCGCCTCTGCTGTGCAATCTGCCGCCGACGTGCCATCGCCAGCCGACGCCGATTGCGAACACGACCGAGCTCGAGAGGCATTACGCGAAATACCACGCCCATGTGTGTGCGGAGAAGGGCTGCGGATGTGTGTTTCCGGAAGCGAGGCTGCTGGAGTTGGTGCGTGGCTTGGTCTTTTTCTTGGAATGGCGCTGATCGGCGGGTTATAATTGCATAGCATCAGACGGAATGTCACGATCCGTTGGCGCAAATACGAAAGGAACGCGGTGAAAAAATCGTATGTATCGCTTATCTTCTCAGATTTCTTACCTTGCTCTGAACAGACCTGCAGTTCCAATGTCATATTCCTGCGCCCACCTGCGGACGCAATTTCCTTACACCAAAGGCGCGAAGGTTACATCTAATACAAACGCATTCGTACCCTAAAGAATATTTCTTCGCCGTAACGAACAAAGGCATCGGTGGCCTTCTTAAAAAATGGGGCGAGGGAGCGAGTATGGTGCGGAAGGAGTGGAAACCAAGAGAAGGAGCGGATAGTAATCAAGATGCGGAGATGAAGAGATACAGAGAGGAGGAGAGCGACAAGATGGACGAAGACGACGATGACGACGATGACGATGATGAAGAAGACGAAGACGGGAAGGCAACGAGCGAAGATACTGAGGACGAGGAGCCGAATAAACCGTTCGTGGAGGAGGACGACCCGATTGACCTCGAAGCTACCCCCCGCATGCTCCCAAGGACAACGGGCATCTCTTCACCGCAATCCCTGATCTCAACGCCCAAGCAAAAACATGCCCATGCGCATCTCAAGGTCAGCGATAACAACGTGGACGTCACCGGATTGGTCAACTCGCTAGATTCCCTTTCCCTCGTACCCGACTCGATTAGATTCGGGCGCGGCGGAAAGATCAGCGGGTTCGTACCCAACGGGAACAGAGGACGAGGGGGCGGGCGCGGGCGCGGCAGAGGGGAGCCTGCGAATCCAGGTGGTGGTAGAGGCGGAACGATATTGGGAGGTGGGACACGCGCGCGAGTTGTTACCAATATTCAGGCGCCTCGTGTGCCAGTGGACTCTGCCATGGCCGATGCCACGGCGATACCGAGAGGCAGAGGACGAGGGCGTGGAGGGAGAGCTAGGGGTCGGGGCCGAGGTTTGTGAATGGGATTTATTGTTGTACTGTCGAAGAGACTGGGAAGGAAATCGCATGTATTACTTGGTGGATATGATGGGATGTATAGTTTGATTTTTTGATGTAGCTCACCGCAGGAGGTTATATACCTTATCTACTTGCATTTGTACTTCTAGCTGCTCGCAAACTTGTCGATATTGTTGTATCTGCTTTGATAAAATTGGCTCGATGTTATCGATGTTTTCAACAATCCTTCAACAATCCCTTAAGACTCAAATTATCAACTTGCAAATTGTGGTCATGGGCGCTTAACATCAGCTGAAAGTTCAGAGTTGTTAATTTGGTATAATTGCTTGTGTTGGTGTGGATTTAATAAATGCCCATAGAATCTATCATACATAATGGCCAGTTGAACAATGCCAGCACTTCATTGCATGACGGTGCCACAACAAACGATGACAGCGCTAATGGTGGCCAAAGCGTGACTTTGGATTGTGTGACATAACTGTGACACAATGGGCAAAAGTCAATGAAGCGGCCTCTGCATTGTTCGTCCCATAATTGATATAAGACTACCAGCTAACATGGTTTCCCCTCATCCTATCTCTGAGCTAACCTGGTCTGCGCTCACAAACTCTTACTCTCTTCCTGCCAGCTAGTCCGCCTCCTTCACGGTTTATTGCCTTTTACGCATAACGCCAACGCTCTCGAGTTTTGAAGTTGGAAATCGAACCTTACGCTCTAACGACTATTCCCTGAACGCTGCTAAAGCTTCTTATACGGTATGTTTCTGTATATCCGGACTATCTCGTGCCGTTGTTGACCAGAATTCTCTAGGCTTTTTATTAATACATCGTAACGATTATCGACATGTCTGCTCAATTCCAGGCACAGACCGTTGAATACCCATCGAACTTCGAAGCGCCTCGCTTTTCCTTTCTCTCGAAGCCACCACCTCAGAAAAGGAGAGCTGCCAAGCCATGCCCAACCACTCCTCTTCCTGCTACCCCCGGTTCCCCACCCCCCATGCCACATGGCCACCCGGTACGCATGCGCTCAAACCCTAACTCTGGCATCCTTGCGTGGGCTGCACATGTCCAACCTGGCTCTCCAGCCCCGCGCTCTCCCCATCGTCGCCTATCGATCACCAGCACCTCCTCCCGGCGCTCCTCCATTTCGCGCTTGAGCCGCCGTCCATCCATCTCCCATGGGCGCGCACCTTCTGGCTCCTCGTTCATTCATATCATTGATAGCCCTGTGCTCCCACAACGCACCCCATCCACAGGCAAATTTGACCTGACGACACTGGGCTATGCATCGGTTTTTATACAGTTCCCGAAAACGCCAACCACCCCGTCGCCTTACCTCCGCCAGCATAGCCAGAAACGCGAGCAAGGTTTTGCTGCACCAGTATCTCCAAAAGCCATGGCTTTTGGGCCTCTTTCTGCGAGTATTTTCGCAAGCATCCCGATACCTCCAATTCCACAGGATGCACCCAAACACAAAGGCATGAAGCGCTTCCGCTCGCTCTCCATCCTCCGCCCCCGTAGCTCAAAAACAAAATCACACGGTGCTTCTCCCTCTTCGCCAGCTCCCATCTCTCCTACGAAAACGGCCATCTCCACCAAGTCCGCGAATGCGGCCGTTGTAAAAGCCGCGAAAAAACAACAGCTCGCTATCACAGCCGCTGCCATCACACGGCGCAAGCAGGCGAAATACGCGTACAAGAGCGTCCGCCCGCCACCGACGCTCGCGAACGAGCTCGCGCTGATGCAGTTCGCGGACGGGGGCAGCCTCGAGTCGCATGCGAAGCGCGTCATGGAGTCGCAGGCGAAGGCGGCTAAGGGCTGCGGAACGGGCGCTGGAGTAGGCGTCGGCGATGTGTACCGGGATGGGAAAGGCGGGATGTGGTGGGACGCGGATGAGGAGATGGAGTACGCGCCCCTACTCGGGGGAAAGACCGTGCAAGAGACGATGAAGGAGAGCCGGGACGCGGCGGAGATGGAGATGGACTGGGAAGAGTTCAACGACGCTGTGACACCCCTCACACCCTTTCACAACACAGCGCGCCTCCACCACCTCGCCGCCGTCGTTGCCGACGCCTCGTTGGATCCGATGAACAGCCCGCGCCGCTCGCGCGCGAGCGTATCCACGCAGGACTCGGACCTCGACCCCCGGCGCATCCTTCCGCTGCCCGAGAACGAGGACCCGCGCGCGCTGATGGACGACCGCGTCCTCGCCTCGCGCCAGATCGGCGGCGCGGGGATGAGCGTGCTGTCCCTGCCCTCCCGCCCGCGCCGCGCGCTCCCGCACCTGCGCCAGCCCGCCGCGTTCCTCGTCGACGCCGCGGCCTTCGCGCCGCGCAGCCCCGTGGCGCCGCATGCCCTCGCATTGAAGACGCCGCTGACGCCGACGACGTTCGTCGCAGGCGGCGCGCATGTGCAGAAGGCGAAGACGAAAGTGCGCAGGCGGCCGGCGCCGCTGAAGCTCACGAGCTCGGCGTATGGTTCAGTCAGGAGCCGCCGGTCGCCGGCCGTCGCTAGGCGTGCGGTGGCGGCGGCGGCGCTCCCGAGCCCTGCGCCACCGCAGGCTGCGGTGATGCCCAGTTTGGAGAGGACCCGGCGCGAGTTTATCGAGGACTCGTTTGCCCCGGCGCCTTCCCCCGGCCTGCCTGCGATGCGCAATGGTGCTGCTTTGAATCCTCTGGCTGATGCTCGCATGGAGCGCTCATCAAAACGGAAGGGCGTGCTGGGCCTTTTCGCTTTGACGCGGAAAATGGATTAACGGACGGCCTGTTGTACTTATTTGTTTTCACCGCTCTGTCTCTGTCTGATTTGTGTGCTCTTTTTGTTTTCTCACTGCTTTGTGTAACATTTATGCTCTTTTCGTATTCTCTAAACATGGTGGATGAACCAGCCTGCGGCTTGTTCCTCCCCAGATGTATTATTTAACTAATTTCCTTTCACTTTACGGATGTATGTATCAACTGGTGTAATGATGTGTCATATGTACAATACGCTGATTATTTCTGGACGATATTCCAAAACCTCGCGGCGCTCTAGAGAAGCGATTTTTGCAAATGAGTCAACTTTCTTCTCCGAAAACGCCGAATCAACCAACCCAGCATGGCCTCAATTTGGAAAAGGCCATAACCTCGAGTTACAGTCAGGTTACAGTATATATAAACATCTCGACTATCAATGTTTATAGATGTCTATCGAAATTGCGTTAGGCCCAGAGGATATGGGGTATTGAATTTCGTAGATCTCGGGAGTATCGATTATCTATGATTCTCAATTCGCAAGTTTCCGAAACCCCCCAATGCAGTGCCCATCAGTGGTGAAATAATTAAGCGCCGGCTGCCGTTTAGCACTTGCAGGCATTTACTGTTTTGAGAAAAACCACCACAAGAAACGCATGATGCATGTGCATGATCCTCGATGAGTATCAAGCTTGCCCCAGATGTTATTGTGTCTACTCACTTCTGAGTTCCCTGCTGCCTCC